CACTGCCTCCCTCCCTCCCCCTCTCACTAATTCTCCCCATCTCTCACTGCCTCCCACCCAAGCTCCCCCATCCATCCACCCACCAGTCAGCCATCACTGACAATGCATGCATTTGGAGCCGACATGGTGCACAGATGTTCCTTGATTGTGCAGATATGTAAAACAAAGTCACAGAATGAACACTCCAACCTCGTGACAAATCAAAACAATGGGAACAATAGGCTGTGAATCTGTGATGTCACGGGTAGAAGGCACTCTAGAGTGGTGCCGTGTGCCGTAGAGTGGGCGTATCAAGTCTGTCTGAAACATGTTCCTTTGAGGAAAGCCAGAAAGAGATCCAACGTAGAGAGAGAACACAGACGACACTATAAAAGGAAAAAAAATAACGGAAATGCTTATGCAGACACGAATTTCCCGTCAAAGAAGGAATAATTTAAATAGGGAGATTGGAGAAATCGAGCTGAAATTGAAACACTCATATCAAACTGAAGAAAGGCAGTTAGAACAGAAAGCAATTCAGGAAATAAAGAAAAATCCAAAATACTTCTTCACATATACGAAATCAAAAGCAAAAACCACTGCCAGTATTGGACCTCTTCATACAAGTGAAGGTTCATACACAGAGGATGACAAAGAAATTAGTGAAATCCTAAAAAAGCAGTATGAGGACATGTTTAGCTCTCCAATAAACAACATGAAAGTGGAAGATCCAGACAATTTCTTTATGCGTGATATCCAAACCCCTGTAAATATAACTGATATCAACATGAGCGTACTAGACTTTGAAAGAGAAATTGAAAACATGCCCATGCACTTGGCCCTGGGTCCAGATTCATGGAATTCAATATTTATAAAGAAATGCAAAGTGCTGGTAGCACATGCACTCAGTATAGTGTGGAGGAAGAGCTTGGACATAGGGGAGATACCAGATGCACTTAAAGTAGCAGACATAGCCCCTCTACACAAGGGAGGGAGCAAAGCATTGGCAAAGAATTATAGACCAGTTGCACTAACGTTGCACATAATAAAAGTATTTGAGAGAGTGATTAAGAGTCAGGTCACCAATTTCATGGAGACCAATGACCTTCACAACCCAGGCCAACATGGATTTCGAGCAGGAAGATCGTGCCTCTCATAGCTACTTGATCACTACGACAAAGTCCCTGAGGCATTAGAAGAAAAACAGAATGCTGATGTGATATACACGGACTTCGCAAAGGCTTTCGATAAATGTGACCATGGCGTGATAGCACACAAAATGAAGTCAATGGGAATAACCGGTAAAGTAGGACGCTGGATACTCAGTTTTCTGTCAAACAGGACTCGGCGAGTAAGTCGACCATATAAAATCTAGTCCAAGCGCAGGTAAAAGCTTTGTACCTCAGGGTACAGTCCTTGCACCGCTGCTTTTCCTTATTCTCATATCAGATGCAATGGGGCCTCGACTTACGGTGCTAATCCGTTCCCAGAGACGGATCGTAAGTTGAAATATTGTAAGTCGAAGCGATTTTTCCCATAAGAATTAAAGGGAATTGAATTAATCCGTTCCCCACCCTCCAAAATATTAACATACAAATACATTTTATACTGAATACAATGTTTTTTTCTAACTACAATACAGTACCAAAGTGTGTCTTACCTTTATGGAGGACTCTTGATGGTGTATGGAAGATGGTGATGAGGGGGAAGGAGGAGAGTTGTTCCTGTTTGGAAGGGGAGTCCCCTTCCATTATCACATCAGGCAGTGATGTTTTCTCTGGAGTACTCTCTCCTACGTTTTGCCTGAATACCACTAGGACCTGGTTGTGGTTCAGTGCTTGTTTGTCTCACTACAAATTTGTCAAGAGACATTTGTTTTTCCCTTCATTTTAACATTTGTCAGTAATGATGCATCACAGTGTCATTGAATAGGTTAAGGCAACGACCTACTGCAGCTTGATTTGGGCGAGTCGTTTCAGCAAAGGTTTGCAATTCTTCCCATGCTGCACACATTTTCTTAATTGTTGAGGAAGAGACATTCTGTACTCTTGTTTCTGCTCTATGGTCATCCTCTCATGGGTTTTCATATGTTGAGCCTTACCACTGACTTAACTGGGACTCATGGCGTGTTATATAATAATTACTTTAATGTTCAAAATGCAAAAAATCACCACAAAAGCGGAATTTCTTAAAGGCGCGATCGTCACTAAGTGGGCAGCTGTAGTAAACTGAGGCAGGTCGGCCGTGTGACTGGGAACCATGCGCTCTGTCGACCCGAATGTGTACCAACAAATATCGGAAGTCGATGACACCATCAGATGTCGAGTCGCATTTTTCGATGAAATTTACATCGTAACTCGAAATTATCGTAAGTAGGGGCAATCGTATGTCGAGGTGCCACTGTATAGACAAAAATACAAGTCACAGCTTCGTTTCATTCACCCTTTGCAGATGACACAAAAATCAGTACTGTATGAAAATTACCTCGGCTGAAGACATTGAAAAACTTCAAGCTGATATTAATAAAGTTTTCGACGGCATCAGAAAATAATATGATGTTTAACAGTGATAAATTCCAGGTACTCAGGTACGGTAAAAATGAGGACCTTAAACATAATACAGGGTACAAAACACAATCAAATGTGCCAATAGTAGGAAAACAGCATGTAAAGGATTTGGGAATAATGATGTTTGACGACCTAACGTTTAGGGAGCATAACCAAGCAAATATTGCGTCTGCCAGAAAAATGATCGGATGGATTACGAGAACTTTCAAATCCAGGGATCCCATCACAATGGTTGATGGCATCCAGGATGTGGTGGGTATGTGGGCCTGCGGGCCACTCCAAGCAACAGCCTAGTGGACCAAACTCTCAAGTCAAGCATGGCCTCGGGCCGGGCTTGGGGAGTAGAAGAACTCCCAGAACCTCATCAACCAGGTATAAACCAGGTGGCACTCAACACTTAGTGGGCAAACTAGGCCATCAAACCACCACCAGCCAGAACGATGCTTGGCGAACCGCTTTCGCACCCAAACTTGGTTCATGTAGCGTAACCCCAACCCCGGCCGGCGCGAGGCTTGGCAGACCACTTCCTTACCAGAACTTAGTTCATATAGTGTGAAACCCTAACCCCAATCAGAAAACTGGAATATTTGGATAACCAAAGTTCGCAAAGCAAGTGGCCGTCTGTAAAATTATGATGGAATTTTATACAATGACAATAACCACATTCACATAGTAATGTGACCATGAAACGATAGCAAGATTTTTTTCTCGGGTCAAGGTAAACTACATTACTTCCACAGAGCTATTAATCACTGTGCTGCTCAAGCTCCAAATATGGCACCCCCCCCCCTTGTGCGCAGGAAATAAAATCTTAGCAATTTTTTTTTTTTGTTTTTTTAAATTGTTAAATACCCTTCCCTGATCACAGATATGTAAAAAAAAAATCGAATTTATACTTATTTTGGCCGCAGTCGGGTCCAGAAAATGGCGTGTGACGTCAAGATTTGGTGGTTGCCCGTGACATAGACTCCCGGAGGCAGTCGCACGCCAGCTTCGACATGCGCGAGTCTGTAATCTCGTGCATGTTTAACAAATTTAACACAGTAACAATTTTTTGTTAATTTTTTGCGTACATTTCCAAATACATTTGTTTTTTTTTCTTGCCAATCCTATGTATAATGAACTCATACACAATATTATGGCAGTAGAACATCTGTACTATCCCAAGACACCGTGTTACATGTATCACAAATGTGTCGACATATATTGCTCATATATCCAATGTTTCATGTTCATTTATGAATATTTAGAACATATTTACACACCATACACTATCACACACTATATACATTCACCATCAACACACTCAGAATTCTGCGGGTGTGGGCTGCCACACCCAGCCAGCCCTCCTTCACTCCTCCAACATCTTCCTCCCCAACAGTCTTCCTCCCACCATACTGTTATTGTTTTTGCACATTATATATATCTATCTACATGTTTTATTCACCATAACTATACAACTAAGCTGGTGTTGTGTCCAAACAGCACAGTGGCCACCATACACTGCATGACAAGTCACATAGTAGACGACGCTACGAGTACGACACCACCTCCCTCACCAAAATGGCTCCTCCCAACATTCTCCTGTTGCTGTTATTACACTATATACACACATTGTATATACCCATGTACATGTGTGTTCACTATAGCGAACTACTAAGCTAGAATGGTGCGCAAAACAAGTGTCTGCGCCACACAGTGACGCTACCTTGATTCCCTCCCTCTCTCACCAAAATTCCTCCTCCCACAATACTATACACAGCGCTAATTATCACCGCAATCCTGCTGTTATCATAATCCTAGTCACAATCTTTTAAATGAATAATTCACCACAAGTTTATTTTGTAAAGGAAGATAAGAAGTTGTCTGAAAATTCTTAGATGGACGAAATAATGCTGTAGTGTTGTGGCTTGCGCTGTGAACATCGTGAATAGCATTGATTCACTGATATTGAACATGTACACAGTCATCATCACACTCAGGCTCTTCTGTAATACTATCATGGGTAAATAATACCAGTTACATATATATTTTGACATTAGGCGATGCTGTGGTCACAAGCTGAACAGCAACGCTGTGAGTTCATGCTGCGTGCGCCAGCCTTGGTTGCTCACTAAGTACCGAGGCACTCACACCTGGGAATGTTGCCCACGATTTAAAAAGAAAAAAAAAAGGCGTCTGTTTATAAAAGCCCTGAGGAAGCTGATGTGAACCCCATGTAGCCGTGGGAGTTTTGAATCATAAGCTATACCTATAAGATCCCGGAGGCACATTGCGCAACCCGTCGAGCGCCTGCAGGCGCGGTGCACAGTTCAGTGGTTAAGCTGTCCTATAACTGGAAAAAGTGAAATACAGTATAGGCATATTTATTTACTATTTTATGAAGGGATGTTGTTATGCCTTAGAAAGTTATTATTTTTGTTCAGGATATGATGAGTTCAGAGAGATGCAAGTATGGTGGTGATGGCAGAGAGTTCAATAATGCTCAATTGAAGATGAGCATTATAGAATAATTATAAGTTCACCACTTTTGCAGATGTGTCAAAGACTTCCAGCTCTAAAATAATAAACAGTGATCCACGCCTGAAGAGCTGCGATGTCTACACCCTGGCCCGCAATATGAACACACTCCAGGTGCGTCTCAACCCTCTGCTTTCTTTTAGGACTTAAGAATTTTTGCAAGGGTAAGTTTGATGCATGCGATGCATATTAGTGATACTGCTATATAATTTTTGTGCTTCATGTCTGTCCTCTTTCTGGAGTATTGGAACTACACTAAACTTTTTCCAGTTTTCTGAGAAATCTCCAGTTTCTATTATGTTTTAGTTAGTGGATAACAGATTCCCTGTAGCCTCTTTCAGTACCCATGTCATACATGGTCCAATTTTATTGTGTTTGCTTCATCTAGTTATTCAAAGAAAATATGAACAGATTTCAAACACACAAGTAACACCTTCACCAGAACAAGCTGTGAAGCAGGGTCTACCAGTGCTGAGAAGCAGAATCAAGCCAAGAACCAATGACTTAGAAGTACTGTATACCTAAATGGGAGCAGAGGAAACCAGCCCACAACTGAACGAGGGGAGAGTATAGACCTAAAAGCCCAATGGAATCCAAAAGTCAACCACGAATCCCACCTCTGGCATCTCCCAAACACCAGTAGCCGATTCCCCTCCTCCATAGAAAAAGAAGGCACTGGGGCAGAGTGAACCTCTCAAACAGAACATTACAAATAAAGGGGTAGAGCTGCAAGAAAGGGTGGCAGAACTGCAGCCTCATATCACAGTTTAGGAGACAAAACTGACAAAATTTAGTAATAGATGCAATTTCCCATTTAATTTTAAAGTTGTGGATGGAATTTCCTTCAGCAACCTTTGCTTTTAGTGCATTCCACTTGCCGATCACCCGTACAAGGAACGAGAATGTCTTACATTTCTTTGACTATTGTGTGTCCAGCTTCCACTGGACAATAGATTCAAAAAGTAGAAAGTACTCCGACTCTAGGACAAGTGAAAGTAGGACTTCCACTTCTACCTCTTTTTAATTTAAGTAGGCTTCCTTTATACACTTTAGATATTCCCCACAAGATCCAATATCTAGTTATCATATCCCGTCTGTTTCTTATCTCCCATAAGGATGTGAGACCTCGGCCTGTCCTCATAGCTCAGGCCTCTCAATTCTGGTACTAATCAGGCTGCAAACCTCTGAACTTTCTCAAGTTTTTGTTCATGCTTCGCAAGGTGTGGGTTCCATGTTGGAGCTTGTTATGACCCAGTGTATACATGACATTATTGATATACACTAAATCCTAACTGTGTAAATAAATTGTATAATTAATGCTGTCTTTAAATGTATTGTTTAAGTGACCATACAAATTTTGATCCATTATCTGTGTGGGTACTACATGTCCGTATGTACGGTGGACTATTAAAAGTTTTCAAGGTGTTGTTGATATATGTTTTGGGCGCCTTGTCAAACTGTTAACGGCTTGTTGAGTGATGTGAGAGTTCTGGCCAGTGAGCGAGTGTGTGTAATTATCTAAGTGTAGTTACAGGATGAGAGCTATGTTCGTTGTGTCCTGTCTTCCCAGTACTTTTTGTCATATATCGCTTTGAAACTACTGATGGTTTTGGCCTCCGCCACCACCTTTCTTAGTTTGTTCCAACTGTCTACTACTCTGCAAAAGAAAATTGTATAATATTTTTCTGTGGGGGAGCCCCGTCGGCTCCCAGGAACTATTGAACTGATATTAGCTAATATTAGTATGGGGGTTTCAGTCAGAGTTGTCATGCCTACTGGGGACCACTATCCAGAACATGGTCCCCTCAGAGAAAAGAGCAATGGCCTGTGAAATTCACATGTATGAAAGTATTCATGTCTGCTATCAACCGGTGTCGAGCACCCAGAAAGGTAGGCGCTTCAAAACAGACCCCCACCTTGTAGAAATATTGCAACCCAAGACCGCTTAGAGGCTAGAACCCCTCTCCCCAAGAAAAACAAGCTAATAAGCAACACGTCATCACACCGCTCGTTCTTACTGACCCCCCCCCCCCTTCCCGTCCTCTGCTCCACCCAGGAAGGGGATGGTCCCAGCCCACCGAGCTGGAAGCCAGACCATCAGTTTGTCGGCTGAAGCTATACTGGGTGGTCGTCTGCTCTGGCCTTGGTTGCCCGATTGGTTTCACCCCCCCCCCTGCTGGTGTTCCTGCTGTGCATTGGCGGTGGCCAGGAGTTCGTACCAAGGACTGTGCGTGCTTAGGGCACTCTTCCCTAGGCGCCCTGTGAGTACACCCCTTGGGGTTCAGAGTTCCCTTCTCTGGGTCCTTCAGGTCCCCATTCCCTTAGAGGTAGTGGCTGCTTGGCTCTCTGCCTCACCCTTGGGGTCCGCTCAGCTCTCGGTACTTTCGTTTGGCCCTGGGTTGGGAGTGGTTTGTTGCTGATTGGGATCACGGTGCTACCCAGCTTGCATAACTGCAGCAGCTGTGACTTTCTGGTCCCCAGGGTTGTAGTGCTTCCTCCTATTACATGGTGCAGTGTTACAACTTATATGATTGGGGCTTCTATGGGGTTCTGGTAATATTAAGGGGTAAAGGTAGTTAGAAGACAAGAGTATCAAATATGGGAGAGCTAAAAGGCCCGGCCCCCAAAATAAACTATCCACAGTAGTAATAACTTGCTACAAGACCATATATTTTAGTCTAAGGGTTGATCACTGCGCTCCCACCTTGGAAGAAGAGATACTCTGTAATTCATGTACTTATTTATTAACCCCTTAACAACCCCCCCATATACACTCACACCAATAACAATAATAATAATAACTTTACCACACTATCTTACGTTAAAAGCCTTGGTCCACGTAGGCAGGATACAAGGTTTACACTAATAACAAGCTAGGGTAAAGTACTACTGGATAAGCACTGAAGCTGGATGCAGCTTAGGGTAGTGAAACCACGTGGGACCCTAATACAAAACACAACACTTAGGGGTACCCAAACACTGGCAAAATACTATCCCCAGGTCTCCCCAATCGTTACTACCAGAGTAGGCACACTTACACCATATAATACTTAACTTAAGGGTACAGGAACTTCAGGTAAGGGAAATAAGTAAGAGGAGAAGGAAGGAGAGTAGGGATACAGCCACAGAGTAGGTCTTAACCGCACCACACCAGCCACAGAGAAGACCGAGCTAGCCACCAGCTGCCTCCCTCATCTCGTGGTGCCGGGAGGAGCCTAATTGATCGTGCAGCTAAGCACATTAAAGATCTTCCCCTATGCAACGTATTGTTACTTTATGAATGATTAGAAAGTATTAGTAAGCAAAGTTGGTGCCTATGTTATTATTTAATAATCAACCCCCAGCTCAGTCTTTAAATGCTCTTTGAGAAACAATAATAGTCTTACGTCTGGCAGGGAAGATACAAACAATTGACATTCTAGATGCCCAACTGTACTACCAGAAAGTTTAATAGCTCAATTTTGACCTCTGGTTTCCACTGGAGAACCCAGGGTCGTAACACTCCTCCCCCCTTCAGAGAAAAAAAAAATGTGACTACTAGAATAGTAGTCATATTTTTTTGTAAGAGTATACAGAGAACAAAAAGAAAAACATATGACAAAAACAAAAAATAAATCAAAAGCAATTTCTCTGCAAAAAAAAAATACAAAGGAGTTCTCTGAAAGAAAAAAAAAAAAAAAACATACACAAAAAAATAAAAGAACAGGGAAGTAAATAAATTGGACACGGAATATTTAATGTCACAGGAGAACCTAAAAAAAATTAACTAAAGCATGACGGTTGGTAAATGGCTTTCTGTGGCTCAGATGAATGTTATTCAGGCAACCGGGACAGAGCGTCGGCTATTACGTTGAGTCTGCCCGGTAGGTGGGTAATGGAAAGATTGAAGTCCTGTAGGTACAACGCCCACCTGAGGATGCGTTTATTCTTACCCTTCATCTGAGTCAGGAAAACTAGTGGGTTATGGTCCGTGTACACTTCCACTATATTACCTGTGAGGTAAACTTCGAACTTTTTACATGTTAACACTAGCGCCAACGCCTCTTTTTCTACCACTGAATAATTGCGTTGCGCCTTGTCGAATTTCACAGAGTAATAATATACTGGGTGTTCCACCTGATCATCCCCAGTTTGCAACAACACTGCACCAGCACCCGAGTCAGACGCGTCAACATGAATTTTAAACGGTCGGTCGAACCTTGGACTAGCAAGCACTGGGGCGGAAGCTAAGATCAATTTCAAATTTTTAAATGCCTCTGCACAGTCTGATGACCACTTAAATTTAACGGCTTTCCGCAACAAGTCTGTGAGAGGAGTGGCAACACTGGAAAAGTTCTGACAAAAACGTCGATAGTACGCACACATACCGATAAATCTTTGAACGTCCTTTTTAGACTTTAGTACTGGATACTCCAGAATGGCATTGATTTTATCTTGCCGAGGTAACACTTTTCCTTGGCCCACTTCATAACCGAGGTACGTCACTGTGCCTTGGCCAAAATGACACTTTTTAGCATTTAAGGTAAGATTTGCCCTTTTCAAGATGGCAAACAACTGGCGTAACCTAGCTATGTGGTCAGCCCAATTACTGTCAAACAGCACGATATCATCTAAATACGCCCGACAATTTGGCACCTTAGCGAGTAGAGAGTTCATGAGTCTCTGGAACGTGGCAGGGGCATTACGCAAGCCGAACGGTAACACTTGATACTCAAAAACACCCTCGGGTGTCACGAACGCGGTGAGCTGTTTAGCACGTTCAGTGAGTGGGATTTGATAATACCCCCTCGAGAGGTCGAATTTCGAAACGTACTTGGCATTTCCCAACTCGTCGATGCAGTCCTCGAGGAGGGGCAGCGGATAGGCATCCACAATGGTCACCTTGTTGAGCTGCCGATAGTCGGTGCATAATCGCCAGGAGCCGTCTGGTTTGGGGACCAAAAGGCAGGGCGAGCACCAAGAGCCCTGGCTCGGCCGGATGAGGCCGTGCTGGAGCAAGAAGTCGACCTCCTTCCGTACGATGGCCTTCTTTTCTGGACTCATCCGATAGGGTTGAAGGCGAATGGGAGTGTAGTCCGTCAATTCGACATCATGGCAAATGGCATCAGTCTGGG